ATGTTGAACTCGACCCACGAGGGGAAGTGCTGCTGAAAGGCCTTTTCGTCCCACATCTTGTTGAAGCAGGCATGGATAAGGCCATGCACCTTTGTGGGGGCATCCAGCTCGCGATAGGCGTCTCCCGCGCCTGTGGCTATAGTGACCTTCCCATCGCTGGTGAGGACCCGCCTCACCGACATGGCGGTGTCCCATGTGAGGCCTGTTTGCGTCCTTACCGACTTGATGGCAGAGAACAGCGGGGGAACTTCGCGGAGTGCTTCCATCCTGGTAGACCAAAGGGTCTGTTGCTCATGGTTGGTGAGGCCGCCAAGAATGACCGGAGCCACCAGGATGTTAATGGAAGCCAAGGCCCGAATCCAGTCCTGGTGGGACTGGGAGCTCAGCAGCTGAGCCAGCTCCTGCCGCGTGTAACGTACTGTCTGTTGTGGAGCCGGCTGTGGGACATAGCCGACGAGTTCCGCATTGGATTCCGGAGGCTCATATGCTGACGGGGGGCGGGAAGAAAGAGGAGGGGGCGTGTGGGAACGCGGAGCGGCCTGGGTGGCAGGGGCTGGGGAAGAAACGGACTTGGGAGGGTGCGGAGGGATCGGGGAAACAGGGATCGCCGGAGGGGGAGCTGGAGCTGCCGAGGAGGAAATAGGAGGCTGAGGGCATGGGGTGGGCACCATGGACGGTGGGGCCTTAGCCGGGAGCGCTGGGGCCGCCTTCGGTGTTTCCGCCTGGCTTGCCTTGAAAGCCGCCTTTTCAGCTGCTGAGGAAGTGAAAGGGCACGGGGGAGAAGGCGGCGGCTCAAAGCCGGCTGCTTTGTGTGTACCTTTGGTTTTGGTTCTGCTGGGGGGGAGAGGAATCTCCTGTGGGAGCTTTGGGGGAGGGGGAGGAAGAGGTGTGTGGGATGCCGACATGGCGCTGGGTGTCGGGTCATGCTTCTGCGTGACAAAGTGGTTTTTGAGGCCGTGGCCAGTACTGAATTGCACCTGCCTGTTGTGCTTCCGGCAGTGCAAACAGCATAACCACATGTCTCCTGAAACTTCCACTTGCCCTAATCCGCGAGGGATGAGCTCCAGCACATCCTGCTCTGTAAGATCTTGGTTATAGTGGTGGGTCTCACGGACCGTGGCCATGATCTCTGCAAAGGAGTTGTGCTGGATGCTGTCTGCCACATAGGTTTCAATATCCTCCTGAGTGGGAGGAGGAGGAGCCGATGTGGCGGTTGCCGTGGTCTGTGACCTAAGTGGCTGTGGTGAGCTGTGCTCTTCGGGTCTATCAGACTGGATTTCCAGGGAGATGTCGGGGAGCTGGCTCTGCAGCATGCGATCGGTTCGTTCTTTGGTGGTGGGGTCTCCCTGAAATCCCTTCAGCCACTTCCAGCACCTGGTGTAGGCGACTGTCGTGTTGTTGGTAGTCACGAAGTAGTGGCCATCATTGTCGTACTTTTTGTTCTTCACTCGCTTGTCCCAGCGCTCCGAGAACAGGTAGATGGGGCCAAATTTGGTGGAAACATTCCAGCCCGCTTGAGGGGAGTGACCAAGGTCTCGACCCAAGATCTGCCAGAGAAATTTGCAGAAGGTCATGTATTCCAAGTTCGCCTTCGCTGTCATAACCTGACGGCTGAAGGCGTGCTGTATGGCTTCCCTCATCAAAGGATGCCTGGGCTTGCCATAGATGATGCCTTGAAAGATGTGATCTCCTTTGACTCCAATGGCCATGACCATGAACTCCTTTGGGAGTTGGCCAGGTGGGGAGGGTCTGTGACCCACTTCACCTGCCTTCGTTGAGTGAGCTGTGCTCCAATCTGCTGCTAGATGCGTTAGTACCTGTTCCCAGGGTACCACAAAGCCACATTTGATATCGACGTAGAGGCCGCCGTGCTGGTAGTGGTAGACGTAGCGGAACACGTCTGCTCTATGAGCAGGCTGACTGAGGCGATCCAGCAGATTGGAGCCGTACTTTCCGGCGAGTTGCCGCAGGGTAGCCCGAAGGATACCATCATCACAGAATTTTCGGGTGAAGCCGGCAAACATTTTGGCCGCAACCTGGGCTGGCTCCGGCTAGGTCTGGAAGAGGAGGGCCGGGACGGGGGCGGCCTCCCATTCTGGGAGATGCGTGAAGCGCATCCCCCAGGGGCCATGTCCATACTGCATGGCTACCTCCGAAAGATCTCGGACAGTTCGGCATTGTGACAGAGCCTGGGCAGCAAGCATTTCGACATGCATGTCCTGCTGGCGAGCATTCCAGCCAGCAACCACGAGGACAGGCAGTCCTGGGGTGTTGCGCATTTCCTCAATGGCTCTTGTGACGAGTGCCGGGATGACGATGTCCGCGACATCGGGGCGGAAGTGTAGATTCTTGGAGTTGTAGAGCCATTCTACCCCTCCTACACCAGGCATCTGTGCCAAATCCATGATTTCCTGATTGGGCAGGTTCTTGTCCGCAAAACCATATTGGACCCTGCCGTCTATCAGGTAGTCATAATTGATTTGCTTCTCCGGGCGCAGGCTTCTTGACAGCGGAATGAAGCGAACGTTGATTTGTCCGTCAAGGTGGCTCTCCAAGATGGAGGCCACCGGCTGACTTCGAACTGCCGCCTTGAATTTGTGCGGCCCGAAGAGGCCAAATTGCCAGTGGAGGAGCTCCATGATGGAGGGGACGCTGCCGGCAGAGATGTTGAGGGCGGCGCCTGGACAGCTTAAGACCTGTCCCGTCAGCAGTGGGAACACTCCGTACGTGTGTCCCCGCAGCATGTGCTGCAAAGTGCTATCGCTGAGCACCAGAAAGGGTCCCAAACTGGGAGGGGTGTCCATGGTCTCAGCTTTAGCTGAAGGGCCAGAGTCTGTGACACGCGGCCAGGAGGTGAGCTGTGCTCTTCGCGGAGCCGCAGTTTGTTCCGAAGTTTTAGCTTCTGCAAGGCATGTCTTTAGTGCGAGCTGCTGTACTTCTGCTGCTGCCTACTGTATCGACAGTTCGAACTGACAGCTGCGGTATGCATGCACAGCATTTCAGTGTCTTAGGACCAAGCACGAAGCTCAGGCAACGCAGGACGACTGGAGACAAAGAACATCAGCAGAGGGCACGCGAGCAGGGACTGCTTGTGCCATGTGGTAGCTGAGACCTCGGATCGCAGGATAGAGCAAACGATGATCAGCAGTAGCTGGGTTCTGTCATGCTGCAAGGTCAATTTCTCTGGGCAGGTGGGCAACACATCTCAGACTGTGACTAGTTGGGTGGCTGTGCCACACCTGATCGGAGGCTGTGCCACATTCCTTGCATGAGTCAGTGACCTCCCTGTGGCTCACAAGTGCTCAGAAAAGACTGTAGTAGTGGTCATAGAGAACACTGTAAACCTCTTCGTCTCTGCTGATGGTTGCCGCTGGCCCGTCTGGGTTGAGGGGGTTCCGGAACTTCTGCACCACGACCTGCTTGCTGTGCTGAATGTGGATGGTGAGCTCTTCGGACGCGAGGTGCCACTGGGGCGTGTCAAAAGACTGGACCATGACACGTAGGTCAAGAGACATAGCTGCCCTGGCCGTGCGGTGTGGACTTACAAAGAGCTTATGCTGAACCAGGGGGAGCACTGCTGCGCACCAGGATCTGCTAACCGACGCCATTGAAATGGCCGTCAGCAAGTCTGGTTGCGGTATCGCCAGTCTGACATGGACGCCCTGCTGGTCGTAGTCCGTGTCTACGTACCGTTGCACGAAGACAGCTAGGCCTTCATGTAAGCGGCGGAAGGCCCAGAGGCGTGCTTGCTCCTGGATCTCGTCCCTGAGCCGCAGTATGGGAACGAGAGTGCTGGGGGGCTGATATGCAGCGATTTCAGTTTCCAGCATTTCCCTGTCCAAACCGTAGTCCGAGTAGAAGTCCACAACGACCACTTCGGGAATGATGAAGGAGAGAGCGCGGCTACATGATTCGGTGCAGAGAGAGGATGGCATCCGCTATGGTTGGCAGGGCAGCTGAGAGCAAACCGAGAAATGACTGCGGAGAAACCTTCTGTGAGCACGAACCAGTGAGCTGCAAAGCTGAGCCGCATGCTGATTGGTTTTGCCTTTTAAAAAAAGTAGTAAAATCGGCGCGTCTCATGGTCTGTGACCAATTGGCTGGAGGCTGTGCCATCTGACCTAAAGAGGGCGAC